GGGAGGGAGAAGGAGGGAGGAGGGGATGGGTATTTTTATACACAAGGAGTGCAATGCGCACCACCCGAAGGATGGACATATTTGAAACACGGACTTGGCGGGGGGGACCAAGGGCAACATACATAACCTAAACGTCTGTACCCCCATAATATGCTGAAATAAAAGAAAAAGGAAAAAAAAAAGTTTGGATACTATTGTTGGAATTAACATTTATCAAAGGGTAAGGCAAGTTGAGGCAAGTTTTTTTTTTGTCATTTTTTAACTTCATAGTATATTTATTAGAGTAAGAGATTAGATTTGTTAAACATCTGGATTAAAATGTTTAAAAGGATTTTCATACAATTTTTAGGCACTATACATGTTGTTTACAATAGCATTGGTACTGGATATGGGGAAAGATAAATCTGACACATTTTAATGCCTTGATCAATTTGTGACATTCAAAATAACTCCACCATTTTAGAAACACTAATTAAACTTAAAGAGACATATACCGCTAAATATCCCACAAAGTGTATTTAAAAATAAATATAGAAATATAACCAGAAGTCTACAAATTATCACAGTAGACAGACTTGTAAAGCCCTGGGTATCATGGCAGTGAAGGGCTCTGGCTAGATTTTGATGGAAACTGCTGAATTCTACATTGAAAGCAAAATATAATAAAATAACAGGATGTAAACACTTTCTGATGCTCATTTTCATAGCAGTAAAGCATGCTTCATATGCACTGCCTGTGGAAGATCTCACAAGTCTCAGGTTCATAGCTAAGGGCTAATGTGGAGGCAGGGGCAGATCAATGATATTTTTACATTGCAGTCAATACTTTGAAGGTAATAGTACATACCTACACACACAATTGGTCAAGATTGAAATTGTAGAGAAGAGATGAGGAAAAGGGAGCATGGAGTGAAAGGGACGGTTAGAAGAAGGCAGGCCACAAAGCTTAAGGAGGCCTAGCCTACCCATGGTGACATTACATAGGCCATGAGAGGCTCCCAGCCACTTACTGGTCTGGGAGAAATCAAACTTTGGTCACAAGTTGTGGCACCGGCATCTTGTGGATACATACTATTACAATTACAGGGTTTGTGCTGTGCACTAACGTATGATATGAATATTGAAGAAAATAAAACTGTTGTGCTGCTACTAAATGGGAAATTAATTTTATC